GGGAGGAGGGCGGTGAGCCCCGGCGGGGGCTCGGCTCTCCCCCCGGCGGGGGCTCGGCTCTCCCCCCGGCGGGGGCTCGGCTCTCCCCCCGGCGGGGGCTCGGCTCTCCCCCCGGCGGCCAGAGCGCTGGGGGCAGGGCGGCGAGAGGGCGGCGAGCCCCGGCTGGGGCTCGGCTCTCCCCCCGGCGGCCAGAGCGCAGGGCGGCAAGCCCGGGGGGAGGGCGCGGGGGGGAGGGCGGCCAGAGCGCCGGGGGGGAGGGCGGCGAGCCCGGCTGTGGCCCCGCTCTCCCCGGCGGCCGGAGCGCCGTGCTGCCCCCCTCCAGGTGCCGCCCCAAGCACCAGCTTGGGTGCCTGGTGCCTGGAGCCGGCCCTGCTAGTGACCAGCATCAACCCCTCCAGGCGCTGGGATCACTCAGCACAACTGCACGTGGAGACCCAACACCCAGCTAGATTGCATGACTGCTCCCAGAGCCACTCATGAATCGCACAGGAAAAGGCACCAGCCAAATCCTCCCAGCCTTGCACCTCAGGAATATACCGTCCTGCACTGCTCAAGATGAGCAGTGCAAATTTATTAATTGGTTCACCACTTCATCAATGGAAAGTGGAGATACACCAGCCTTCGCAAAACCTGAGCCGGTTTGCCACACACTTCATACAAACTCACTGGTAAAGATCAACAGTAAAACAAATTTGACTACAAAAGATAGATTTTAAGTGATAGGCAAAGAGTCAGAGTCAGTTACCAAAAGAAAAGAAAATATAAGCACACAGTCTAAACCCTCAACCCTATTAGACTGGGTAACATCTAGATGAAGCAGTCTTTCTCACCCACTGGATACTGCAGTTCATAGTATACAGATTTCACCCTTAAAGTCTGGGCCAGTCTCCTCTGCTTAAGTCTTCTCAGTGTCCTTGTTGCTTGCAGCATGGGTAGGGGCAGGAGAAAGGCGAATCATGGGCCTGCTCTGTTGTATTTTATACCCTCAGTCCCACGTGCTTGGGGAACGCACAAGTCCAGGCATGTCTGGGGGGCATTGCTGGGTCTCCAGGCAAGGTTGAGCAATTCCCCTGGTGTGGTCTCGTGCAGGTGAGTCATTGAATTGTAGTTCCCTTGCTGGACAATGGCTGGTGATGGGGTGTTTGACACCCCGCTCGGGTGTGGGTCACTTTCCCTGCTGTTGCCTCTGGGGAGCTAATATCTGGCTGATTCCCCCAACTTACAGCATGTTTTAGTGACACCTCTACATGGTTTATATGCTTTATATGCAAGATCACAATTGTATATAAATGAGGAACATGGGGGTTACAGGGTACTCCCCCAAGGGACAGAATGTCACCGTGACCTTGCTTGTGATATTAATAAGTGGTCAGGAAAGCAGCATCTCAACAGCCTGGTGCCTCCATCCCAGCTGGAAACGAGTCTGTTTTGAGCTCCTGTGGATACCTGCATTGCTCAGTCTGAGCAGCGGGTCTGTTCGGACCAACCTCCTCTACTGTGTCCCCCTTAGTAAAGGGGAACTGATGGACTTTTTGCTGGCCACTGCCTGTGTCTCAGGTTGTGTTGTTCCCTGCCCTCTGCCAGGTAACGGTGTTGTCACGTTTTGCAGGGAGAGACTTCTTGCTCACACATTTGCGATTGGGCTTTGAAGCTGCATGTGCTGCTGTTCTAGCCTGTTCTGGTAGGAACAGAAGGGAGATGATCAGAGATGCATCTCCAATTCTACGTGCAGCCCTCACCGGTCTGGCCTTATTTATTATGACTGGATCCCTGAGGACATATCAGCTATTATCTTCATGTCCTGTTTACCTCGTTCAGAGTCTGCACTTAACCATTTATCTCAGTCCGCAGTTCAGTTCACGCCACCCCCCAGAAATGATGTGAGTAGTACTGAGGGTCTGTCTAGGAACCGCAGCAGCAAGGAAATTAACAGCCAGTGTCCCACTAGGGCCAATGGGTTACAGTAGAAACCCCTTGTGGTTTCCTGTCCTCTTGTGAATCCCCTTGATCCTGTGGGATTGCCCTCCTCCGGGGCTGGTGGGAGGGGTCTTTTGTATTTTGATTTGCATCGTGACTCATGGAAGTAAAACTAGTGTCCAAGCTACCAAATTATATTTCATGCTCCCGTTTTGCTCACAACTATGTTAGCTCGTGAGTTGCCCTGAATTGAGACGAACTGGTAACCTATGGGCCTTGACCCAGAAGCTGTATGTTTGGAAATGTTAAGAAGGCTCATTTGCACTGCTGTGAAAATGACCACGTTTGTGCAGTGACTCATGCTTCTAAAACACTCAAACGCTCGCTTGTTGCAATATTGGCAACTCCTTCAGTTCTCGTTAAGTGCACCAGTCACCTGCAAACTTGAATTGTCCAAGCACATCCATTTCTGAGTTAAAGGAACTCCCCAAACGGTCTCTTTTGTTTGTTCAGGGCAGCGATGTTTGTTTAAACTTTCATTTTTTTCCAATAAATTTAGCCCAAAGCCCTCATCCCTTCCCTCCGGGGGTGAGATCTCTTGTCAAATTCAGTCGTGGAATGAATTTTTAAGCTGCAGCTCTGTGAAACCTGCTGGATTGCCAGCCCTGGAGACTGAACTCCTCTCGCCACAGAACAGATACAGCATGACAGCAGCAGTGCAGAACCACTGCTCTCCTCCGATGTGCCCCAGCCCTGATCTATAGGGAATGCTTTTTGATGGCTGCCTAGTCAGTCCTTGGCCTCTCCTCCACCAAACGGGTACGCGTTACAGCAGCGGATTTTAGGATGCGAATGGCTGTCCGCTATGGACGAAGACCCACCGACTGGTTTTTCATAGACCATGAAACAGCTGTCAGATTGTAACAACTTCCAGTCCAGCTGGGCTGTATTCCACCCAATAGCCTGAAGGTGAAAGGCTGGTTCCAATTACCTGAACCATCTAGTCCCTCATAAGCCACAGTTCCAAGCCTCTAAAAATAGGATTTGTGGTACAAAAATCCCACTGACAGGCCCTTAACTATGCTCTGAAGCAGAGTCATTTTGACACAATAGATGCTAGACCATTAATAGCATTCCTATACAGAATGAATAGGCTTCCTTTTTTCCCGTCTGCCTCGAGCCACAGCACATTTAGCTGGGAGTTGACTGAATGCCTGTTAAGAGAGAGCGTCCGAGAACAGATCTGAAGTAGTCTTGAAGAGATCTTGTATGGAATAACTTGTAAAAGAAAAGGAATATTTATGTAGACAGCATTCTGTGGAAGCAACATCAATCATACAACCTTCCGAGTTCTTTCTTAGTCAATGGTCCTTTAAGAAAACCAGTTATTTTTTTTCAATTCCATTCAGAGCACACTTCCAATAACTGGATCTGAAAAGAAAATGTTTGTTTGAAATCCTACAAGTCAAAGTGGCTGCGTATTCCGTGGGTGTGGGATTGCAAGGGGTCCTTGGTTAGCATCAGGAACCAAGTGGAAAAAAGACACAAAAGCAGTTTTCTTAAGGAAGCTATTTTTCAGTGTCTGAGATTTTTTTAAATCAGTGGGTGTTTTTTCAATACTTTCTAGTACTCAAGCACTTTCTTAATGCATTTACATGCTGCTTCTGCTCTGTGTTACTTGGGTGTGAAACAGACAGTGAAATGGAAGTGAAGTGGAGTGTTGCATACATTCATGGCTAAACGTTTGATGAGTCCACTGATGCATTCAGCAGACAACCCTGATACCTAACTTGAGCTGACTAATGTTTAAACAGAACTGTCTGGTTTTTATCCTCTTTAGTTTATCTCTGCACTCAACATCTCTGTTTCCATTCTCTCTAACCCTCAGACCAAGGATGGCATTCAGAAGAACTTGGAGAGCGAAATCATTGAGTACCGGTTTAAAACCTCATTCTTTGATATATTTGTAAGTATGCTAAACAGCCAAAGGGAAAGACATTTCTCTCTAAGATAGCGGCAAGGTGGCTTAAGGGATAGAGAATTCAGAAGCCCTGGTTTCTGTGCCTAGCTCTGCACTGACCTGCTGAGGGACCTTGGGCCGTTCGTTCCCCTCCCACCTCTTGTCTTGACCATTTAGATAGTCCGTGCCCTGAAGATCTTACTGTGTCTTGCTCTGTCTGTGCGGCACCCTGCATGTTCAGTGTTAGTCTCTAAGGTGCCACAAGTACTCCTGTTCTTTTTGCGGATACAGACTAACATGGCTGCTACTCTGAAACATGGAAATAGTAATGACTCTCTCCTTATCTGTGCCTTTTTTGTTTTTTAAAGGTCTTGGCTTTTTTCCGGTTTTCTGTGTTACTTCTGGGCTATGCACTCTTAAAACTGCGCCACTGGTGGGTCATCGCGGTAAGGAATCCATTTCCTGTTGTTGATGTATTGGACTTTTTCTCTCTAAACTGAAGCTGGCATGTAGATTTGTGTAACTGTCTTCCCTTTTCCAGTTCACTACACTGGTGTCCAGTGCCTTCCTCATCGTGAAGGTCATCCTCTCTGAGGTCAGTTGCTCTCAAGGGCTCTAATGGGAGATTTTGTTTTGTCTCATGCTGTGACTTCCCAGCTTGTGTAAACGCCCTGTGGCTTTCTTTTCCTCCCCCAGCTGCTAGCCAAGGGGGCTTTTGGGTACTTACTTCCCATCGTCTCTTTCGTTATCGCCTGGCTAGAAACTTGGTTCCTGGATTTTAAAGTCCTATCTCAGGAGGCGGAAGAGGAACGATGTAAGTCACTTTCCTTCTTTGCGGCTGGAGCAAACAAACCGGCCGGGGCTTTGGCAGCAGCTTGTCACCCAGTGGTGTGTGGGAAGGGGAACCAGGATTAGAAGTTATCTCCAGGCAGGTTGTGGAGATCAGTTGCCTCGGCTGACTTGGTTATGGTATAGAAATGCCTTCCCAGGGAGACAATCCCAGCTGCTAAAAGGACCCTTACGGTAAAGGAGAGCGGCAGAATGAGAGCCAGTGGTTGGAAGTTTAAAGTCGGGCCAATTCAAATTAGAAATAAGGCCTTAACATTTAACAGTGAGGGTCATTAGCCACTGGCACAATCTCCCAAGGGGAGAGTTGGATTCTCCATCTCTTGAAGTCAAGACCGTGCGCCCTTCTGGAAGAGATGCTTCAGCCAACCCCCTGTTGTTGGGATCAGCACAGGGGAGACTGACAGAAATTCTCCAGCCTGGGCTATATAGGAGTTCAGGCTGGATGATCGAATGGGCCCTTCTGGCCTCAAACGCTAGGACTTTTTCCAAGGTGCTGAGCACCCACAGGTCCCATGGACGCGAGTGGGAGTGGAGGGTGCTGACCCTGACTGAAAATCAGGCCCACGTGCTGAGCCCAGGGTCCCACTCTGACCTGTAGCTCTCCAAAGGAGCTTCTCATCTCACTCTTGTCTTCCAAACGGGTAGAGTGTGTGTGTGGGGGGGGGGGGAATGGCGTCTAAACCAGGAAGAATTTGTCGAGTGAGACTTGATCACAAATGCATCGATGGGCTGGGAAAAACCAGAGGACGTTTGGGTCTTGTGAGGAGGTTTTAAGATGAAAAATGAGCAAGTGTTTAATGCCTCTATTGGATTAAGAGCGTGTTCTGGATTGCTTCGAGGGAAAGCTCTTATTTAATTAGGCGCTTAATCACCTTTGGATTTGACAGGCAAAAGAGTTCATTGATCTCCATGCAGATAAAGTGCTGTGTCTCAAATGAAAAGTGAGGGAACAGGGATTGAAAGCTCCTTCTAGGCTGGGCTGTGGGTCCCAGTACAGAGCTGTGTTCCAAGCGTTAGTTAACTGGGGTAGCTTAACCTGGATGAATGTTAGGAGTAAACTCTGGCTTCTGTATATATTTACACTTTGTGTCTCTTGGTTCCCTAGGGTACTTGGCAGCGCAGGCCGCAGCCTCCCGGGGCCCTCTGCTCTATTCCGGAGCCCTCTCTGACGGGCAGTTCTATTCCCCTCCGGAGTCCTTTGCAGGTGACGAATGTTTTTGCCTCTTCTTGGCATGCGGTGACCTTTGTATGTGGGTTGAGTTGCTTTCTCAGCTTGTTCCGCTTGCAGGATCCCCTGGGTTTCCTTTTCCCTGTTATTGCCTCTCGAAGTTCCTCGCTGAGCTGTGCCTAATTAGACCGACCTTTTGAGCATTGTTACAGCACAATGCGGCGAACTCCCCTTTGCTTCCAGTGTCGGGGGAAGGTTATGTTGCGTAGCTGCTTTTGTGCCCAGCTGTGGGGTCAGAAAGCGATTGTCAGGAGGTGGAGAAATAGCCACTTACTTTGCATTTGATGCCTGACTTTCCTGTGCTACCAAAATCCATTCTCAGCTGTGTTTAAACCAAAGCTCCAGGCCTCAGGACACAGGGTTTGAAATGCAGTCGGAGGTTGCTCTGGGAAGAACAAAGGCCTCACCCTGGACACCCAAAGAGCTAGTGTGAACTGCATAACTTGCTGCAAAAAAAGGTGTTCACCTGGTGGCTTTGGTGCGTTTTCAGAGGGGACTGCGTTGGGGCAGGGGGATTGGCACATTTCCCATTGTAACCACTGTCGCTGTTCCTGTAAGAGAACACACAGACTATCCTGCATGAATCTGTGCATCTGGAGGATGAAGTGGGGTGGGGTGGGAGGGAGGGCTGACCTGATGTGGGCCCTCCCCTTCATAAAATCATACCAGCAGGATCTCTAGCTTCCTCCCAACTCTGTACCTTTCTTTAGGATCGGACAACGAGTCTGATGAAGAAGGTGTGGGGAGGAAAGCGTTAACAGCCCAGGTAAATGGAGGAGCGGTGATCTTGCCATTTTAGAGACCCACTTTTGCCACTGTTAGTTCCGAGCATCTCTCAGTGTCTGGCTCTGATAGCTGCCCAATGCATGTTGACATGAGGGTCAGCTAATTACACCAGCACGTACCCATCAGGGTGCTGAATAAATCGAGGGGGTGAAAGGGGACAGAATCTTTCTTCTTCTCCTCTCAGAACTGAAGGTCACGAAATATGTTGCTTGCTGCCAAGAAACATGGGCAAATCATTCCCCTAGCCAAGCGATGTTGCTCATGTGCTCTGGGAAAAACTGCTCTGACTCAGTATCCAGTCACCCCTCATGTGCAGCATCAGTTCCTTTCCCCTTCACGCCCCTCCTGTAGTTGGCTTTTAAAGGCGTCTGTGGCCCTGACAGCAGCTCATCTCCTTCCTGCTCCCTCCAGTTTCCTTTGCTCTTACTGGTTACATGGTGACTTTGCTGAAGGAGGAAGGGGGTATTGACTCCACTATCTTGTCAAATTCCAGCTTGGGTAACAGCCTTCTACCTCCCTAACGTCCCACTGTAGTTTCACTTGGACACAAGATTCTTCACATTCTTTCCAAAACAGCTGTGTAGCTAAGCAGCTGCTGGTTCACCCCAGAGGTGGCTGCAGCTCAGTGGGAGGAGAAGTGATCTCATTGTGGTTTGTACCATTTCATCTGGCAAAAATGGTAGGGGCCTCTCTCGGGATGAAAGGTATCACAACTGTGGAGAGACACAGCTGGGCCTGCTAGGTGCAACACGCTTGCCTCTGCCACCCGAATGAAAGGAGGATATCTGTAGCAGGCACAGTAGTGGAAAGTCCCTTCCTCTGTTGCCCAGCCACTAGGATGCAAAATCACTCGTTCGCACGCTCAGGATCATGACTAAAGGGAGCAGTAAATAGATTGCTTTTTCTCCTAGGAGAAGGAATACGTCCAACAAGGCAAAGAAGCAATGGAGGTTGTGGATCAAATCCTCGCCCAGGAGGAAAACTGGAAATTTGAAAAAAACAATGCAAGTATTTCCCCGCTTTGCCTGCAGAAAGCACAGAGGGGTTAGCACAGAACGATGGGGCTTTCAGAACCTGGTTACACCAGGAAAAATTAACAAGCGTTACAATGACATGATTGAATTAGGAATCTTATTCCAGTTCAGTTAAATGTAAATCGCCTCTTATTTAATTAGACGTTCAATTACCTTCGTGTTTGACAGGAGAGGGAACCCATCAGTCTCCCCTCCCCACCACCCCAGCCACAGGCAGGCAGAGGAGTGTGGTTAGCCTTTAATTGCAGTTATGGTGTGGAACTGCGGTTGACCGAGTGGGAAAGGATCAAAGGCATTTGTTGGGGAGTGAGTGGTGCCATCTTGATAAACACCATGCCTGGCATTAAGGGAGCTGTCACATGCAGTAGACTCCTTCCCTTTGCTACGCATCCAGCTACAGATTCATCCCATTTCTGTGTCTTGTCACGCTTATGCCACAGCGTGTTGCATTCTGTCTGCAGCCATCTATACACCTGGATTTTTGGAAGTGTGTTAAAATGCAGCTGGAGACAGTCTTCACTTCCTGTCCTAAACTTGCTGCACAGTGTCGAGCTGTACTTTTAGAAGGTCCCGCCATGGAGGGGGTTGCGTTTCAGTGCTGACTCTAGTGATGGCAGCGGGACTGCCTGTTGTGCAGCCTGGCTAGTGACACAAGTCTAAAATGTGCTTGGGGATCCTGGGGTGAAAGCTCTTACAGGCGCGTAAAGTATTGTGCATGTGAAGTGTGACTTGACTGTCTCTTGCACAGGAGTTTGGCGATGTTGTTTACACCATTGAAATTCCTTTCCACGGCAAGACCTTTATTTTAAAGGTAAGGACCTATGGCCTCTACCTCCTTGCTTGGTAAGGTGCAGCTTTGTTGTAGGGGCATAACCCATGTGCAGTAACTGCTTAATGCCCCGGCACAGCTGGACACTCATGTTCTTCTGTGGCTACCGCGATACAGGTCAAACTGCAACACATGTGGCATTGTAAAGCCGGTTCTACTGGTTGGTGGGACTTCCGGTGATACAACTCCGCTGCATTCTTACCCTGAGCTCTGTTCTACTGCCCGGATAACACCCAGGCTTGCCATCCAAAACTAGACCAATCCAACCCCCCACAAATACACTGGCATCCAATGGCAGATAGATGGACCAGGTGACCAAAGAATCCTGTTCCAACCCCAGCTTCCAGGACTACAAGAAGATGGCGACTGCCTGTCCAGCAAGATCAGGGTTGATCCCACTTCAGATGCAATCGGGCATTAAGAGATGTTGGAAAGTGACTCACTGTAGTGGCTGGGCTATAAGCAATCTCTTAATGAAGGCCCATGTGGTGACTTTTCTTTGTGTCAGTACGTACGTTGCCACGCTTGCAAGAACTGCACATGAAAAGACTCTTAATGAACGGAGATCTGGGTGACCCCATGTTACTGCATTATCCCTCTGCCTCTAAAGACCCACCCGAGGCTGCAGATGAATGCAAGTGTTTCGTTTTTGCTGACACACTTAGTAGCCTTCCGAGAACCTCCTGAAACAGCTGCCCACTTCGGTATAAGCGGTAGACGCCGGAGTAGCCCAGGGGTGGAATAGCAGGGATTGTTCTGTTCAGGATGGAAGTACGCTATTCCTGTCTGGCTGCAGCCAGTAGCTCTGCTAGCGCTTCTCATGAGCACTTGTTTCACTCCATTGGTTGTCCCGAATGATCTTTATCTTGTGCTGTTGAATACACGCCCCAGGGAAGGCAACTGGGGCAAACTGTTAACTGTCTAGTCCTTTTCTCAGGCCTTCATGCAGTGTTCTGCTGAAACAGTCTACCAGGAGGTGATTCTCCAACCTGAGAGGATGATCCTGTGGAATAAAACGGTGGCAGCTTGCCAGGTAAGTGCTTTGTGGAGATGGCATTTTAATAACCCTTTGGGGCTGGAACTTCCCAGCACAGAGCCTGCTGCATGCAGCGCCTGGCCCTGCAGGAGCTGGGTTGGCTGCATTTGTAATCCCGATGCATTGCTCATCCAGGCAGTCTGAACGTGCCGAAGTAGCTAGTTGCACCAAACGCCCCAGGGAGCGGGCCGAGGCGCAGAGCCAAGGTCGTTCTTGCTGCCCTGGCTTGGAGACACTTACTCATCCTAGGCAGTTGCTGTGTCCAGGATGTGAAGGAAATGCCTGCTCGCTAGACAGAAGGCAAACGTGGTCATACTAATGCTGGACTCTCCAAGGCCTGTATTCGTCAGATCTGCCGCTAAAGGCTCTTCACTTGTTTTGGATCCATGGGCAATTTTGAGGGAGGCTCCTTATTTCCTAGCTGTTGGCATGTAGGGATCCACAGGCAGGTGAGGGGAAACATCTCTTATTCTGTCCTTCTTTCGCTCAGATCTTACAGCGGGTTGAAGATAACACCATTATCTCCTACGATGTTGCAGCAGGATCTGCAGGGGGTGTAGTGTCACCCAGGTGAGTTTATTCCACTCCGGTGCCTAGTCAAACAAGCACCTAGAATACATCAAGGAGATTTTGTGTGAGGGAGCTCCAGGCCAACCATCATCTTATGCACGAAACATACAATGGGTCCAAGAGGGCACTTCTAACCTGCCCTGCGGGTGGGTAACATAGTGTAGTATGTAGTGTAATGACTTGCCCAAGGTCCTATGCCAAAATTGATAGCTAAGCCAGGACAAGAACCAGGAGTCTTGGCTCCAAGCCTCTGTCCGAGTCACTAAATCCCTGATCTGTCCCTTTAATAACCATAAATGTACATAGTGTCTCCATGTTAAAATATTTTCACCACACCTTTGCCATAGGGCTTAGATTGAATGTTGGGCCTTCCATGTCTGTGCATCCTAAAGCTCCCATGCAGACCCCAGAGCAGTTGCTTTCCCCTTTATTTACGTAGGGACTTTGTAAACGTGCGTCGCATTGAAAGAAGACGAGACCGCTATATTTCCTCAGGGATGTCAACCACTCACGCTTTGAAGCCTCCACTGTCCAAATACGTCAGGTAAGAGTTCTGATTTGGGCACAGGGAAATGTCTAATTTTTCTTACAGCACACGCTGCTGTATAATATTATATGATCAGTGCAAACAGACGCTTGAGTTTAAAAAAGGGTGGGAGGGAGTTTCTTGTCACTGTTTAAAGGAAAGTACTGCTTTACAAAAACTCTGACAGGCCATCTGTCTGCGGAACTGTATTCTACTTCCTGTGTTCCTCTTCCTTTGTTTCAAGAACAATTGGTGTGGAACCAGCGTGTTGCTTAGGAGATCAGCAGCAGCTCGGGTTGAGGCAGTGGGGGCAGGGTAGGGGGGACCCTGACCGACTCCGCATCCCGTCGCTGTGGAATTAGCTCTCACACAGGGACAGTTGCAACTTCAAAGGGGGACTAAGCAGCTGTTTGTTCTGCATGTGCCCTTTCGTTCTCTCCTGCCCGGCCTTAGTTTTAATAAAGGCCCAGGGCACAGAGAGACGGAGCAGGAGGTGTAAACAGAGTGCCCTTCCATACGGCGCCTCTCTCAAAGCACTCGCCAAGCTCTCTGGCATTTCTCTACTCCAAACTACAGTGGCCGGCTGCCTTGTGATGCATTAATCTGGGTTTGAATCTCTTCCAACAAGGCCTCTTTGTTACAGTCAGACTGTGCCTCAGGTGGCTAGTGACCAGCTCAGCTGCTTCTCTGACTGACTTTGTTTTTCTGAGTAATCTGATTAAAGTAATTGACATTTAACTCACAGGCTCAGTAACTGCCTCAGTCTATTTAGGTGCTGGGGCTTTTCAGGCCTCGAGAAGCTTTTTAAGGCCCTATCCAGCAGAAATACACGTAGCGTCGCAAAGCTGGGAAGTGGTAACACGCATCTCCTTTTCAACATATCTGGATGGATAGGGGCCTTTCGCCTCTTAGTCACAAATCTGGCACATATCAGTAGGGATCGGTCGGTATCTACCCCTGCTAAGCAGACCAAGAGCAGTGAAGGGGAGGCTGCCCTTGCAGTACCTGTCCTGACCATGAAGGGTTTCTCTCTCTACAGCTCTCAGCAACGTGGGACCTTTTCACCAGCATCTGCATTTAAAAAGGGTTTGCCTTTCAATATCCAGCAAATGCAGTGCTGGTGAGACAGGCCCCACCGACAGCCGCTGGAGCAGTGGTTCTCAACCTGCGGCCCAGTCAGCACACAGCTGTGGCCCATGTGACATCCTCCCTGCCATACAGGTAGTATATATATTGTGTGGATGTGGCCCACGTTATACAAGGAGAGCTGCATATGCGGCCTACAATGGTAAATAGGTTGAGAACCACTGCCCTGGAGACTGAAGGCCCTCTCTGTCTGCAGAGCAGAGCCCAAGCAGCAGGACTGCAAGGCAGCATTTGCCAATGTGAGCTAATCCTGCCATAGCGCCCCCAGCAGGTATGGATGGGCCGAGAAGACGCCTCCCTATGTCTGTGTCTCTGCTGGTGCCAGTGGAGGTAGCAGGGCATGTTGTGATGTGGAAACGCCTACTAGGCCCCACCAAGTCCCTTCCCACAGGCCATTGGACCTCGCTTAGCTCTTCCCGTGGGAAATAAAAGCGGAAGGTGTGGGATGAGCGGGAATCTCACATGGCAGCTGAAGATGCGGCGTTCTCTCTGGCAGCAGAGCTAGCGAGCTCCTTCCCGGTTTGTTTCCCAGTTAGGTTTGCCCAAGGACTGCTCCAGCTCCGACATCCTGCCTCTCAGTGCCCCCAGGTGCAGTAATGGATCATTTGAACGTACCGGTGTCTTTGCGCTGCATGGGCGCGTTCAGGATCCAGGCTGCATGCGTGTGTATCCGCCCAGTAGTGTGTGTATGTGACATGGTGTCTGCAGAGCCTCACAGCTGTGCAATCTTTGTGCTCTTCCTTTTCCAAGGGGCGAGAACGGGCCAGGAGGCTTCATTGTACTGAAATGTGCCAACAATCCCAAAGTTTGCACCTTCATCTGGATCCTCAACACGGAGCTCAAGGTAAAGTGGGTTCCACGTCAGCGTGTGCCTCGCACCCAGCACAGAGCACAAGGTGGAGAGTCTGCCTCGCGGCTCTGCCAGTATTTGCAAGCAGTGAGATCTAATCCCCACCCAGGAGAACTCAAACCTGTGGTGCAGACGGTGCAACCAAACCCATCTCCTCGTGAGCCTGTTCCCCAGAGGCAGCCGGATCACACCCTGCCACAAAGCCCTTGAGGACTGACACGTGGGTGTATTGGGCGCTTTCAAAAATGATCTTGGGGACCCAGCTTGGGACACTTTAACGGGGCCTGATTTTTCCAGGGGTGGGTGCTGAGCCCTTTCGGACATCTGGCCCCTTTCAGGTGTGCCGAACTGGCCCCCCCAAATCACTACTGATTCCTAAAAATCTTGGCCATAAATCTGAGCTCTCGGTGCAGAATAGACTAGCCGGGAGAAGAATTGTTTGTATTTTTTGTACTGCTCGGATACCAGAAGTCAACTGTCCTCGTGCAGTTGTCTTGCTGTCCCAAAGCTTGCCCACCTTTGTGTCCGTTGCCGCCAGTAACCTGCAATCGAAACAGCCTCCCCTCGCACGCTTAGCGTCTGCACGCATGGAGCAAGGCGCCTTAAACACGGCGAGTGACTCCGAGCTGGAGTTATTGGCTGCACTGCTGGGTTCGCTCCCTGCTGTCCGCTCGGACAAGGGCAGCATACGAAAGAGCTGCCAGCCGGGGTCCGGTGCGGGGGGCTGGTGGGAGGTGAGAAGAGGCCCAGCCTGCTGAGTACTCACATTGTTGACGTGGTAACCCGCCGCTGCAGCAGGGCAGCACAAAGTCCTCATTCATCGGGGCGCTTGGCCTGCGCCATCTCCCCCTGCCCCCTCCAGGGGAAGTCGGTCGGCTATTCTGTTGCTCGTAACATGACTGAAAAGCACTTGCAAAATCAGCCGTCCTGCTGGGGTATCAAACGTGGGGATAGAGCCGAGAGCAGCAAAAAACAGCTGCGCCTCTCACGCGGGCTGCTGTGTCCAGTGCTTTGTGTCTGGGTTTCCTTGATGGGAACTGGCTCTGGAGTTGGTCCAGCCTCTAAAGAAATCGCCTGTTTGCACAGTTCTGTGAGACAGGCCTTCAGCGCCTGCTAGCTGCTGCCTGTGAGGAAGAAACTTTGGTAGCAGCCAAGCTATTCGGAATTGCCCCTTAGCCAGCTCTCGCCTGACCCTGAGGCATCTGGGGCTAGCCACTGTCTGAGACTGGCTACCGAGCCAGGTGGACCCACAGGGTCCTGGTCAATGACGGGCTACCGGGGTGGTACAGCAGTGCAAATACGTCAGAGTACCCTGCGGAACGACCTCCCACCAAACACCCGCTCAGCCCCTTCCGTGCAGTCCCCACAGGGACGGGCTGGCAAAATGGGCCTTGGAGCATGCCCTTGACCTGGGCCTTGGTGGGGATCCACGCGGGATCCCGTGGTGAATTATTGCTGTTATTGATGATCTGTGTAGCAGTAGCGTCTAGGAGCCGCAGTCACGGACCAGCACCCACTGCGCAAGGCATTGCACAAACACAGGAGACAGACTGCCTCTGCCTCACCTTCTGCCCTCAGCCCCCTCCGTTGGGTGAGGACTAGTCTGAATGCCACTGCTGCTGGCTACTGCCACAGTTTGGCACAGGGCAACTGAGGACTCAAACCATGCGGGGGTTTTATAGACCTCAAAACACTTCAAGTTACACTCAAAAGCAGCCCGAAGCAGTTGGGAGCTGTCACTGCTCTTTGCGGTGATTCTCGCCAATCCGCCAGACAGGAACCCCAACAAGGCTGGGCCCAGGATTCCTGGGGGCTCGACCCCCAACTTTGTCGTGGTCACTTAGGGCAGGGACTAGGGTGTCCCCACTCTGGGGGGCTCTCTGCACTGGATGCTTCCCTGACCCACTGATCATT